CCAGAAATCAAAGAAAATAAAAATAATAATAATAATAATAATAATAACAACAACAATAACAACAATAATAGTAATAATAACAATAATGAAATTCAAGATTGTTCAGCTCAGGCCTAAAAACCAGATTTTGTTATTGTAGCAAAGAGAAGAAGACCAAAAGCAAAAGGGGCATTTCTGTTCTAGTTACTTATGGAACAGAATTGAGAAAACTGTAAATGTAGGAAAAGCATCTAGACTTTTATAGAGAACTGAGAAAATTGTGTATAAAGGTGGCTGTTGTACCCATCATAGTTAGCATGCTTGGAATAGTCTTAAAAAGCCCCATAAAGAATTAAAACTAAATGAAAATGTCATTAAAGTCAGCTAGAATACTGAAGCATTGAGGTAACTATCTCCAGTGTAAGCCACCAATTATGACTTATAAGTGACTAATAATAATAATAATAAGTGACTAATAATAATAATAAAGCGAATCTCTGTAGTGGGGAGCATCATGGCTGGGTGTTGAGTAGGTTGTTATTTTTTTAAGTTTGAAGAATGAGGCAGCCAAGGTGACTTTGGAGTTACATCTAGATATTTGGGAATACTCTCAGTCAGAGATTGTCTGAGCTGACTGGGTTACACAACCTGATGACATTTCTAACTGAGTCTCACCTGTAAAGTTAGGTGATGTTTTTATCAAAATCTGTCAGTATATCATATACATTTGGTTGTAATGTGCCTGGTATACCATTATCTAACTAGGTGTAATGATGGGCTTATTAGTCTTTGTATACTTGCATACTTATATACCAATGTCACATTTATAGTGTGCTGATTTTCTCACTAAATAGTAATAATAATAACAATAATAATAAGATAGAAACATTACTAAAATCAATGAGAATACTGAGGAGAGTGCTGGAAATAAAGGAGATTGCTGTTACGTGATATCTAATGATAGCTATCAGATGCTACAAGTGTGAAAAGTCAATGAATATAAATAACAACAGCAACAAAAGCTGAAATACCTATAATTGCTGGAGTTTGGATACTGTCCAACATGTTTCAGAATCAGGCTAAATAAAAACTGAATTTAAATAAACATGAAAAACAGTGTAAACTTTGTTAATGTTTGATGTCAAATACTGAAGGAACACTGGCAAAAGTAATGGAATCCTGATGGAACTTTTTGACGTCGGATGATATTTAATCAGATAACTTTGATATAGAGGTATGTGAATAACATACTGGGACTATTGACCATTTAGTGCTTTTGGTGGTCCAATAGTGACACTGAAAGAATACAAAAATTCACATAATAAGATTGGGCAGAGTATATTCAGTAGAAAATATATCAATATTACAGTGTACCACATTCTGAAAAATGATTAAAAAATCACTCTAAACCAGTCATAGAAGGCCATAAAGTTATTATTATTTGAGACTTTACCATTCATATTGACAAACATAAAATAATCAGTACATGAACAGTCTATGAAAACCAGAAAAATTATCAGTCAAAACAGAACTGATCAAAACTATAAAGATGAGCATAATATCTGAATGTATTTTTCTGGGATGAGGAGTTATCATTTACATTCTGACTGTTATCTTTGTTGTTGTCATCAGGTATATTTTGGCCTTTGTAACCTAAACTGATCCCTTATGAGGATAGATTGTTCTTGTTCCAATGCCCCTGTCTAGTTCTTATTTTTAGTACTGCTCAGTTATTGTTCATCCATTTTTACTAAGTACACACTGCCTGGCCCAGGGATTGAACTCATAAATAATATATCACCAAATTCACAAACCAAAGTTGTAATCCACTAGGCTGTAGGAAAATTCTCTGTGGTAAACTTGGAGCATTAAGTGTAACCTACCTGCTGAATAGTGCTGTTGGTGGTGCATGTTATGTTTGAGTGCTGCTCTTAAAGATTTGTAGTCATTTGTCTTCCTTTATTAGCAGCTTCCATTTAGTATTTCTATGCTAGGCCTACTAAAGAGGTCACATAGCCTAGCATATGAATTGATTTTTTCAGATTTCAAACTCTCCAGTGTTCTTCCTTGTTGAGTATTTCCACTTTATTCCATACAGGCTGATTACCCTTTTCCCTCCATACATGATCAGCCATGTCCAATTTCATTCACTATGGCTTTTTGATGTTCTTCTAGTCTTGCTTTTGGGGGGTGGCTTGTTTTACCTTTATATTCGTTGCTACACTTGCAAGGAATGGAGTACACACATTTCTTGTTCATATTCTCACCATGTTAGGCTTTACTCAAGCAGGGATTTCTCTGTAAAATGGAGCTGCTTCTGAATACTGTCATGATGTTGTATGGACTGCAGATCTTCTGAATCTTTTTTGCTAAGCCCTTGACATGAGGTAGACAGACTGTGGCAATTTTCTGATCTTCCTCCTTGACCTTTCTGTTTCCACCTGCAGACACTGATGTTATATCTACAGAGTAGTTGTTATCTTGAAGGTTATGCTTGATGCTGATCATTTCTTGTTGTTATGTGCCTGTGTCACTAATCCCTTGATGCTGATCATTTCTTGTTGTTATGTGCCTGTGTCACTAATCCCTTGATGCTGATCATTTCTTGTTGTTATGTGCCTGTGTCGCTAATCCCTTGATGCTGATCATTTCTTGTTGTTATGTGCCTGTGTCACTAATCCCTTGATGCTGATCATTTCTTGTTGTTATGTGCCTGTGTCACTAATCCCTTGATGCTGATCATTTCTTGTTGTTATGTGCTTGTGTCGCTAATCCCTTGATGCTGATCATTTCTTGTTGTTATGTGCCTGTGTCGCTAATCCCTTGATGCTGATCATTTCTTGTTGTTATGTGCCTGTGTCGCTAATCCCTTGATGCTGATCATTTCTTGTTGTTATGTGCCTGTGTCACTAATTAGGATTTCTACTCAGTAGTGTAAGCATAGGACAATCCCTTTCTTCACATTGTATTGATAGTGAAAAGATGAGGTATTGTCCAGTGAAGATTCGCTTGTGATATATGGATGATTTGAACTCTGATCAGCAATCTTACCACATCAAAGCTTACCATCCAATTACTATGGATGGGAGCCTCTTGGATCAATGATACAAAGTGTTCTTCTCTGTAGGTTATACAGATTGATATGCACCTGATGAAGCCCAGAGGGCACAATGGCAGAAATGTTGTGATAACTACAACAAAGATGAGGAAAATAAACTGAATATAAATAGTGAAAATAATAAGGATAATAGTTTGAATAATTAATTGAATAATGAAATACCTTGATGTATACTGTCTGATGAAGACAAGAAAAAGCATCAGCCAAGATAAAACTGATCAAATTTACAAAGATTAGGATAATAATCTGAATAATTTATTGAATAATGACAAGCCTAGATTGGAATGATCCTATGAAGTCTAAAAAGTCATCAGTCAAAAGAGGACTGATCAAAATTACAATGATAAGGATAATAGCTTAATTAATTGAATAATGAAAAACTTTGAATTGGACCATTTTATAATTAGAAAAAGCATCAACCAAAAGAGGACTGATCAAAATTATAAAGATGAGGATGAAAGTCTGAATAATTCATCAAGTATTGATAATACATATTCTCATAATTTTTAACCATGTTTCTTTTTATTTTACTTTTTTCTGTTGTAACATTTAATATGTTTTAATTGCCTTTAAAGAACTTTTATTTTCAGTACAGCTTATAATGTGATTTATACATATAGTTTTGGTGATGGTTGTCAAATATAAAAAAATAAAATGATGGAATTAGCTGAACTGTAGTAGAAACAGATTAAAATAACATTTTTTTATCTGGTTGTGTTCAAAGCAAGAAGAAAAGAAATGTTTGAAATATCAATATTCCCAGTATATTCAAAATATAACTGTCACAGCTATGAAAAGTGCACAAACATTCAATCATAGATAAGGAAAACAAATAGCCATTATAAATGCTTTGAAAAAGCCAGTTATGATCAATTTTTAAATAAATTGATAGAGTGAAAATCAATCATCTAGAATATTGAGGAATGTATTGAAGAGAAAACATGACTTAATAAGAGGTGTCAAAGAAAATATGTCTAATGGATATGATCATCTTGTAGGTCATGGAAATAAGAAAGAAAGAATATATATACTTTTTAAAGAATGTTTAGAGGTTTAAAAATATGATATTTGTACCCAAAGTTCTGCTAGATAAAAAAGTTTTCAATATAATTTAGATAGAGAAAATGTTTTTGGAAACTTATGTCTGTATAATACCACAGAACATTCCAAGATATGTTATTGAAAACTAATATATCAGTAGTATTAATAAGAAATTCATATAAGTGAATATAGAATATAAGCTCAGATTGAGCATAAAATAGACATAAGTGGGTAGGAAGGGTGATCAATGGTAATTGTGCAAATAATTAGGAGTTAATAATGCAAGCATAGAATATAATAACAAAGCAGAAGCTGTATAGAAAAAGTAAAAGTCTGTGGAATTTTGAAATTCAAATAGACCACTTATCCAAATCTGGACAATCTGTATATTGTCTGATAAACACACCACCCTAGACCTTTGAACAGGAGTAGAGGGTTATCACTTGTTTCCTGTTTAGTATTGGGTTTCTGGTTCCTTCTAAATTCTTTTCACTCTCTTTCACCCCCAGTAGCCCCCTTGCATCCTAGTGGCATCACTACCTTGGAGGTGAATGGATTAAAAAATTTGAATTTCAAAGTTTCAGCAAAATCCATTTATTTTGTTTGTATTGCAAACAAACAATAAAAATGGATGTTGTAGTTGAAGCAAAGCACAAAGTAAAACTGAAAGAATCTGCAAAGCTAGAAAAATATCTGGACTTTGCAAAAGAACTGAAAAAGAAAACAAAATGTCTAACATAAAAGGGACACTAATATTCACCATTATTGGTATAGTTGGAACAGTCCTAAAGAACCTTGCAATAAGGTAGGTAAAATCAGAAATTTGAGAAAATATCAAGACCTTTAAAGGAAGATAAAGGTGATGGATATATCTATCATTACTGTAGTGCTTGAAACAGTTCTGATGAGTTTAAAAAAAAGGGTTATTAGAAATTGGAACTTTTGTTAAAAGTCATGTAGAAATTTTATTAAAATTGGAAACCTGTAAAAATATTTAGATCTGGCATAAATAAATGAAATAAAATAAAAATTATCTAATAACAGTTTGGTGACAGTTATATCCTTTATCTTTGGATTGCTTGATACAACATTGAAGAACCTGGCTTAAAGATAAAATAAATTGGCAGTTTATGGAGAAACTGAAATCATTAAGATGACATTATTATTAAAATCAAGTAGAATATTAGAGAGTCCTTGTGTATTAAAGATTTTGTGATCATTTGTTTATTAGTAAACGTTATTTGATACTACTCTATATGAAAACTCAAAGTTTTTAAATCATTTGATGCCAAGCAAGGCAATAATGCCATTAAGACACAAGGGGTTACTGGAAATGAAAGAGAATGAGAAAACTTTAGAAGAAATCAGACACCCAATCCTAAACAGGAAAATAAGATAAAGCTCTATTCCAGTTCAAAAGACTGTGCAGTTGTGTGAACCAGACAATAGGTGAACCTCTCTAATCTAGGAAAAAATAATTAGTTGAATTAGGCTTTAGAAGGAACTAAAAAAACAATCCTAAACAGGAAACATGGGATAAACCTCTACTCCTGTTCAAAAGGTCAGGAAGGACTGTAAATTAGACAATAGGTGAACCTATCTACTATTAATGATAATAAATATATTGTAATCAGGTTTGTCAAAATAGTACTTAGTAACCAATTATCTATCTATCTATCTATCTATCTATCTATCTATCTATCTATCTATCTATCCATCCATCCAGATCTGTTTATGTCTCTCTATTTAGATCTGTTTGTCTATCTAGATCTGTTTATGGCTCTCTCTCTCTCTCTCTAGATCTGTTTATTTTTCTCTATCTAGATCTGTTTATGTCTCTGTCTCTTTCTCACTATCTAGATCTGTTTATGTAAATGATGTATGTAAATATTTAAATGATGTAAATATTGTTATGTTAATAAATAAGTAATTAATAGATTTACAGCGTTAAATCTTAGATTATTTCTGATATTTTTAATCATTTGTTCCTTTTCTAAAAAATGTTATTCTGTTCTAAAAATAGCAATTGAAAAATATTTTTTCTAGATTTAAATAATTAGGGACTCGTTTGCAGTTTCAAATAAAACAAATAACAAATGTAACTCTTTCCCCTACCAAATCTAGCAAAAAAATATTGGTTTTCAGCTTTTTCAATAAAAATAAAATAGGAAAAGGAAAAAGATCAACAGTTTGTTTTGCCGAGATCTATTTTTAGTTTTAAAAGTATCTTTTTACTGTACAGTACACTGTGTAGTTTTATATAGTTGAATGAAGTTAAATGTAGCAAGGAATCTCGTAGCTGAAATAGTTACTTAATGCATTTTCTAACAGTGCCTGAATGTTCGAACTGCGAACGAAATCAAGAGCTCACTAACGAATGCTGATTTTCTAGCCAGGCAAGCACACCACATTACACACTACAAGATACAAAAAAACACATAGGAGAAAACTAAAAGTAAATTTTCTTACTGGGTCTTGTACTAAGATCAGATTTTAAAATTTAAAAATGTAAATTGCAAAAGCTAGAAAGGTGGTAAATCGAATTAATTATCAAGTTTTGTCGTTATCACGTTTTTATTATTATTTTTAATTTTTTTCACTTTTTTTAGTTTTACAAGAAATAACGAAAAACTCAAAAATGTAAAAATTTAACAGTTGCGAGATTATCATCAAATTTGTGAACAGCACAAAACGTTTTTTTTGTTAGATGTGTAAATAAATTAGTGAATATTCTTAATCTTAATTTTTAAGGAAAAAGAAAAATCTCATACCAACAGAAAAAGAGTAACTAGTGAGTGACGACTAGGTGTACTGTTGTGTAGGGTACTGGCGGTCAGCAAGCTGCCCTCCGTAATATTGTTACTGAGTAGGGAGTTCGATCCTAACTGAGTAGTAAGTAACTGTCCCATACTTCTGGCCTTCTTGTGCGAAAACAAAACTATACTTGTTTTGTTTGTATAGATAAAAAAAGGGGTGCCACAGCATGGGGTAAAATTAAAAATGTTTTTTTTAGCTATTTAATTAGTCTCTCTACTAGTGAGTTCGATCATTGAGTGCCCCGAAACTTATGGCCTTGTGCTAAACTTAATAAATAACAAGAGCTATAAAAGAATGTGCAAATATTTTTAGAGAAAGAGTAACTAACTAGGAGTTGAAGGCGTTTTTTCGATGTTAGAATGATAGCGAGTTACTAAGCTTCATTATTAGTCTTTTGGATACTAGTAGTGTTGAATTATAATCCTCACTGGGTGCCTTATACTTGTAACCTTGTGCCAAGCTAGGCTTAGTAAAATAACTATAATGAGTGGATGACAAATTAATTATTAAACCAGCAGGTGTGTGTTGACGACTTGCCGCGTAAGTTAGAGAAAGAAAGAAAAGCAGGTTAAAAGGAGGAAGAAGAAAGAGTAGAGTTTTTAAAATAATAAAAAAGAGGGAAAGGAAAAAGAAACTGTGTAGCGTGTACACATTTCAAAAATATTTTCTTGTTAGCATTTACATTGACCCCACCCCTCTACTGTCGGTCCCTCATCGCACTCAACAACGAAGCATCTTCAACTTCCGGTATGACTCCTGATCCTTTCATCGTACGGCAACGCTCGAAAAAGAATAAACATTATATGCTTTATTTTCTTTTTTCTTTTTAAATTATTATTTACAAACGAAAGCAAATATTCATACCAACAAGCAGGTTAAAAAAATCTTGCCTGTAGATATGATATTAATAATAATATTTCAGTTATGCGATGTGAAAGGATCAGTAGCAGCCGCAACAGCAGCAGCAGCAGCCAGACAAAACTTTATATGGACGGTAAGCGCACCTGCTACCACGTTCAACTTTTAATTAACTGACTACAACAACACTACACAGTTACCAAGAGAGAGTTGGTCGTCAATTTTAATACTAAAATACTGATCCTTACCATTGCCTTTTTCTCTCGTTTAAGACAACTTTTTAATAATTCTCTCATGATTTTAATTTGTCTCTTTTTTCCTCATTCCACTGCTGAGTGCTGCCGATTCAAATAATTATTATAACAACCAATACCAACCAAGAAACCACTAAACTAAAGCAATTAACTTCCAGCGAAACAACGAATGTCACTTACCACCAGTTATTTTTTTTTTTTACACTTTTGCTGGCGACCAGACAATTTTCCTTTCTTTGGATTATCAACAACAAATACAAGACTATTTCACATCGTATCATCAACCATCATGAAAATTTGCACGTAGTGGTAGTAGTAAACTGAATTGTTGGTCTTATTAAGACTCTGTAAGTCACCCTCCGATGCTTTGCTTATATTTTTAAATCAACAAAACATTTTCAAGCATGCATAGGTGTATATGATTGACGATTATTGTTAATGCTATATGAGTTATTCTTCGTTAGAATTTTTTAGTTTTTCTGTCTTACTCAATTTTTATTTATTTATTCATTAAAAACAGCAACAAGGAAAACATTTATTTATTTTTTGGTTAGTGTTTACTGTTTATTTTCTAATAATGGAATGACATTTGTGTCACTTAATGTTACACAAACTTGGCCTAGCTGTTAACGTTGTAATTTTTTTTTTTTGTCATGCATTTTAAAAACCGGGTGTGTTGTCTAGGTCCGTTATCATTAATAACGTCCACAAGAAAAATATTTCTTATTTAGTACATAATTTTCTTTCTTTAAACTTGATCTTTAATAGCTATATCTGTTTTTAATTAATTGCATCTGGGGAGCATTGCAAGTTGAACAGTCGTAATTTTTTTCAGTTCAGATTTCTAGTTTATTTATGCGTTGATGTTTAGTGATTATTCACTTTTTGTTTGTTTTTGAAAGCTAGACACATCATCACTAGGAGAAATACCCTTTTAATTCTTAGAAAATTATCACATTGCCTTAAATTCTAATTAAGAATCAATAATGATTGTATCTAATTAACCAGTTATTTCATTTTTAAAGTTCCAGCTGTCTGTCACTTTATAAAATGTAAACGGCTGTTTCTTCAAATATTGTTCAAGAAAGCAACGCTTGTTTCTTTTAAATTCTATAGCTAAAAACAAAAGACAGAAATAATCGGAACATAACACTATTATTGACTATGTCTAGTGTTTGTCACACATTATCAGCTAAAGATTTAATTTAACTGGATAACTCTTTGATTAGATAAAAAGGAAAACGTTATGTTCATATGTAAATATTAACATCAACAATAGCATAATGAATTCCTAACGTCTTTCGATATTTTTTGTATTTTTCACAGTTAACCCTTCGCTATACGCGCAAACAAGAATTAATACAAAATATGCATGAATTCAATGAATAAAACTAAAGCCAGCCATTGCCAAAAAAGTGACAGGTCTTTTACTTCTTTATAGTCAGCTAAAAGATGGACGAGCAAGCATTGAATGAATTGTTAGAATGTTCTGTGTGTTTGGAACGGTTGGATCACACCAGCAAGGTGCTACCTTGTCAGCATACATTTTGTCGCAGATGTCTAGATGAAATTGTTAGTACTAAGAAAGAACTTCGTTGTCCAGAATGCCGAACATTGGTTTCATATCGAGTGGAGGATTTGCCAGCCAATATCCTTTTAATTAGATTACTTGAAGGATTAAAACATGCCAACCAAATAGTGTCTTCCTCTTCATCTTCGACAGGTGCTTTCAAAGCAAAACCTCCTTCAAGACGACATGAAAGCTTAAATATCAATTTATCCCACACTTCTGGCTCTAAGCGACAGGTAATTTCTCTTTGTTTCTGTATATTATTTCATGTTTTTAATTTATTTTATTAATTTGAAATTTTATTTTTTTATATTTTTGTCGTTGCTTTGTACACATGTCTTTTTCTCTTGTGCATTTTTAATTGTGATTATCAATCGAAGCCTGATATTTGAAAAAAAATGTTTCGATTTGATATTGCATTTCCTAAAGACTTGTTGAAAATTTAATAATGATTGTTTCAAATTTCTTCTAACATGTTTCTCTTAAATCAATAGAACAGACGGAGTGCTTATGAGCAGATGTGTTCAATACCTCTTTCTTTTCATATTGCTAATATTGTGGATGCTAAAATGCTTTATACTTTTCTTAGTTTTCTACTATCTGCTTGTTATTTTATCATTCTGTGGTTTGTGTGTAATTCAGCTTGTGTACTTTTTCTCACAATTTGTCTTTGAATAAGTTCTTAACGTAAGTATTAATTTTTCTTCTACATAGTAAAGTCCTAGAGAGCAAATCAGCTCTTTCTTCGATTAAAAATGAAAAATTATGGTTTTAATTTAAAAAATTAAAAACATAAGTTTTGTTTTTTACTTATTTGCACGCTTATTTTGAATTCTAAGATTATTTTACTATAATTTTCTGTTTAGCTGATCGTAGAATATCACTGGATATTTATGCATTTAGCTTTCAGTGAGAAAGAATAAAAAACGCATTTAGTTTTGCTTCTTCCTCAGGATTTAATAAATAGACTAGAGAGGTAACAACTTTTGATTCATGATTAGAATTAACATTAAGCTACTCTATTACTGTAAGTAGAAAAATGAAAGAAAAAAATCCCTATGAGTAGATTTATTCAAAGCCATAATTTTTTCTTAACTATACAAAGAATTCCTTTACAAGTAGAACCAAACGTCATCTTCAAAGGACACTTGCACAATCATTATGGGACACACATGCTTCTTTCAAACCCTTGGCATTATTGCATATTATTTATTTGAAAATTAAATGTAGACTTAAAAGGAAAATATTTACATTTTTGCAAATTTGTTAAACACTAAAATAAAAACCGTGTTATAAAAAAATTTTTTTTTTAGAAAATGCAGTTATGAAAATCAATATGTTTAGTTTAGAGATAAACTAAGTTCAATGATATTGCATAATTTGAATATTTAAGAAAAAAAAATTAAACACGTGATTTCTGTTCTAACGTAGTAGTAGTAGTTTGTACACACACACGTGTATAAAGTTTCTCTCACATTCAAAAATGCCGACTAAAACTGAATAGCATAATGTTTTTAATTTTACTGGTGATTCAGTGATTTAAAAAGAAAACAATGTACGTTTAAGTACACATTTAGTAATCACGTGATTGCATAAACGTGTTGAACTCTATAGAGATGTACTTTTTTTTTCTTATTCGATACGGTGTACGTGATGGGAAGATATTTTTTAATTCGAATATTTAGAATTGTGCTTGTTTGAAAATGAATATTTACATTGAACGTTCCGACTAATGAATCTTTTTTCGTACGTGAAAAAAAATAGCTTGTAGAAAAAATAACAAACTTTTAGATTCTTTCGACTTAAACTTGATTTATTTTAAAAAAGTATAATTTACAACGCTTTTTTCTTTTCATTGTCTGATTTGAAGAATACTAAAAATTCATAGTGCGGAACCACACAAAACAATGGATCCATTAGCTTGCATAATTAGGTCAAACTGTGACGTAATCGATACTTGCTTTTTAAGGATGATTAGAATTTTTTTGACGGGTAATATGCTTCTTGTTTTACTCACACTACTAATATAGCCTACTTTAAAAAATATAGAGAAATATTGAATTTCTACAATAATCTTGGCTCTTAAATACAGCATATAATTTTATTTTGTTAATCTCCCACACTCAAGTAATTATTTAAAAAAGTATGTATTGTAACTCACTTAGAAACTAATCAACCACCTGTCTAAGCATTGTCAAAATGCTCATGCGCTAAAATGGCGGTTTAAGTAAGAGCACAAAAATAACACTTTCTACTAATAGATATTAAAATAATGGGTTTCAATAAAAAATGGTTGGAATTTTTAAAGGGTCTGGCTGGAATATGTAATTCATAAAATGGTTATTTGATATAACTTGCATAACTAGTGTCTTCTTATAACTAAAAAGTGTTTAATTGGTTAGACATTTAATTATTTCAAGAAATGCTTTGAAGCTGATTCAATGGATGGATAAAAATATTTGAAAAATTTTTACCTATGTATTTTTTCCTTTCACCTTTTTTCACTACTATAGAAAAGTATTTAAGTTTACAACAGAGGACTTAAAAGCTTACCATCATAGGGAGGGGAACATTGGGCATCTTACAGTTTGATACTTGTGTATGAAGTAGAATATGACATGAATATAGAATAATTTAGTCAGGCTGTGTAATTTTCTTTTAATGGAAAGTAAATGTTGTAATGAAATGTATCTGACATCATTAATAACATTTTTTTTTTTTTTTTTTTTTTAAATTGTTATATATCAAGTTATTTTGATGCTATCTTACTGTATTTTTTGCTGTATAAAGTGCACCCCCCCATCAAAAAAATAACCCCAAATCAACCTGGGTCTTATAACTTAAAGGCTGGGTATAGATTTGGATTGCAACTGTTAAAAAAATAGGTTGATAATCTGTAATTCAATTATTCTCAAAGTTTGGCAAAAATAATAAAAAAGATACTTAAATTAAATTCATTCTATGTCTAAGATAGCATGCTTCTAATCAGGGATGAAATTTTAGTGATAAAATAAATAAGGTTTATCATAGTAATGAAATATGATCAATTGGTACAACTGTACTTTGATTACTAGACACCTTACATTCCTGGATAACTTAATAGTCTTCTTATGACCTCAGAATGAAATATGTATATGATTATGAAATTAGAATGCAAACAGAAGCTTACATGTATTGTAAAACAGTTTTTACATATTTAAAAACAGTTTACTTAAGGCAGTCTTTCAATGTTTCTTGTGATAACATGAAAAATGTAACATTCAACCATACATTTATATACGAGCACACACACACATATATATATCCAAGAATAGGATTGGTGTAGATGGAATAAAATTCCAATAACCAAAAACACTTCTTAAGAGTTCTCAGTACAGAATAGGGCAAATAGTATTCAAAAATAACATATGTTAAAACATTACTACAAAAATAGACATTTTGTTTCAACACTTCTGTTGTCTTAACAGTTGAAACAAAATAGCTATTTTTGTAGTGATGTTATAACATTTGTTATTGTTATAATTTTTGAATAAATATCTTATATATATATATATATATATATATATATATATATATTTTTTAGGACATTTTTTTTTTTTTTTTTTTTTTTTAGCAATAAAAACTTTCACACACCCTCTTACAACCATGGTGTAATTTTACAACTAAGTCTCAAGATGAGTTTCAGCATATTTATCAATAGTTTGAAAATAATTTAAATTTCTGATAAATTAAGTTAGAATTTAAATAAAGTGTTGAAAAGCATACATTTAGTCTGTCATTAGCTATATAAGTTTGTAGCAATATATGGAATTATTACCATTTTTATATTGAATAAAATTAGTATTTTTTTTATTTTAGCATAACTGACAGAAATTGTTACTTTTATACTATTATAGAAGTAGTACTAATTTCCCATAATGCTACAAACTTGTACAGCTATTGACAAACCAGAAAGTATATATCTTCATTACTGAATTATGTTAAAATTCATGAAATTATTTTGACCAAATTCCTTCTCTAAATAAGAGAAGGCCAAAGAGTATGCCAGCTAAAATATTAATCAAAATGTCAAAGATGAAATTTGTTTGAGTAAATAAGTGTATAAATAGTGATAAATTTCACAGTACTTTCATCTGAAAAAAATTGCTGGGTGCTTTTAGTGTAAATTTGAAACAATTCAATTATATTATCAGTACCATTAGTAACTTTTTTTTTTTTATAACTGAAGTATTTTTTTTATAAGTAGAGCATTTTGTTAAATTAAAATAAATCTTATGAGGTACTGTGCTATTTAAAAGCTTAGGAAATTTGACAATAAAAATATTGATAACTCCATCTGGTTTCCAACATCTCATCCAAATTAGTCCTTTGTCTGCCAGCACATTGGCAACAGCAAGTCTTTACAATATGCAGTTTGTGTGCACATTGTTTAAATTTTCCAAACTATGTAGTATACACACAGGATGTACAACTTGGTGTAATGGTTTTATGTGCTGTGTCCCTTCAGAATGTAAGCAATAATGGCTATCCACAACTTCCTTTGTAAATCTTAACAATGACTTATTACTATCACCCTCTCCCCATCATTCTGTCATCCATTTACAGAAGCTCATTAGGTAAATTGTTTGCCGTTTCCTTTTCCTTACCTGCCTTCAGTATATAATGTGAGTGTCAAATTCTCTAAACACTCTTTTCTCATTCTCTCCAGAATATATAAAAGGACACCTACTTTAATTAAAAAGGTCTCTTTTCTATTCAGTGTCCCTTTTGTTTCAGTTTTCTTTAGAAGTTACCAATTGCTCACATTGCATAAATACCATTCTTCCTGCGCTATCTACTATCTTGACAAAATCATATCCCTGGTGTGTCAGTGACTGACAGAAGAGAATGCACAAATATGCATTTAGGTAAACCACTTTTCCATAACTACTTCACTTGCCTAGGCTGTAGGAACAAAAAGATGTTATTTTTCTAGTTAATCTTGATAGTATCTAGTTTGTAATATGTTAATATTTAAGTATTCATCATTATCATAATATCTGCTTAAAAATGCTAGAATTATTTGTGTATATATTGACCACTGCAATCAGTGTAACAATAGTTACATAAATTATCTTATTGCTTTATTATGGCATAAATTATCTTATTGCTTTATTATGGCATAAGTGATAGAGAAACAAAAAATACAGAAAGTGATTTTTTTTTTTTTTTTTTTTTTTTTTTTTTGTTTCTATGA